CGGTCACTGATTAGCATTTGATGACACGAAACGGGCGAAAAGTTTCCGAGAGAGTGACGGGGGAATGGGAGCAGCGGTGGAGATTAAGCCAGACGTGCTCTTCCACCAAGTCTGCTTTACAAACTTTATTGTAGAGTAGTTATAAAAAACCCTAAAATTTATAGAGCATCTCTTGAGGTGTGCGCTCTCACAACTCTACCATTTTTTTTTCGAACGGGGTGCGTGGAGCTGAACATGTCTGTCTAAAAACGTGGAGTGGAAGCAGTCCCAAACACTCCATAAACTGGAGATTGAAAAGACTAGCTAGCTTATTAGCAAGATAGTACAGGCCCCCCACGATGGGTGACTCATAAGCTAGCTCTATTTTTTATATATATATTAATAGAAAAAAGAGAAAAGTTAGCTCTTAATCAAGAGCCAGGTTCATCCATATATTTTAAGATCATGTGAGAGTATCATGTGAGGCTATCCATGTCATAAGCTATATGCTAAAAATTAGCACTATTAAGGAAATTGTCTTAGAGTTAATAACTAGCTTATATACCATTGCGTGGGCCCTAATAAGCTAGTAATTAATAAGCACACTTGTCATTCCTCACCGATAAGTTCGACGGTCCATACTACTACTGACCAACATGTATTATCTCACCCATGATGAATTGCATGCGCCGAGAGATGTGGTATGATATTTGATTGATTCTGAGAAGAGTCATGCTGTTTTATATAGTGTTATCATCGTCAGATCAGATGAATTCAAGTGTACTTCATCGCCATCTTAGCCTTTTGGACGAACTCATCGTTGCCTACAACGTAACAACTCGTAGCTTTCATTGGCATAGACCCTAAGTTAGTTCAAGTCCTGATTGATGTGCATTCTAAAATATAAAATACAGAATCAAGCTTATGTTTCCAAATTCTAACTGAACTTACCCATCAGTTCGCATGCATCTTGTTAATTGCCTTGCAACGTAAAAGGTGACTTCATCCAAACAATTTCAACCTAGTACCTACTGGTAATAATTAAGCTGCATGTAAATGTTTGGTTTATATAGTGATAGGTTAATGTTGGACACCCGAGGAAATAATTCAGCACAAACGTAGCAGAGGAAGAGTGAAAAAAGAAGAAAAAGCAAGAAAAAAATAAAAGGAGATGTTGATGGCCCCCACAAATAGGCGTACGTGGTCCCACCGGTCTTTTTCATATGCTGTTTTAATTGCAATTAGGTGGAAACGGTGGACCACTCTTGCCCCAGTTGGTGCCAGGCCCTACTTCCGGAATATTTTGTGGGGAGAGCAAGCAAACTATTGGTGCACACATATATGCCTTTTAAAGTTTGTTTTCTTTTTGTACCAAATTCTTTCGTTCCGTTTTTTTATAGAACAAAAAGATTCCCTAATTATATTTCTATTATGGAAATAGTTATGCATGTCTTCTGACTTTGCCTCTTTTTTTATCAGTTGTTCGGCTAAAAATTACTCCGTCTATCCTAAAATATAAGTATGTATACATTTAAAATTTATTCTAAATTAATTAGAAGATATTCTAGATGAATTAACCTCCCCATCGCGTGTGTACCAGCCATTAGTGCTTAAGAGAGAGTTACTTGCATCATTCATATATAGTGTAACACTAAATGATTCATATTTTTTAAAAATTTAAATTAGATGAAAACGGACTTTATATCAAAGTTGTAGAGCTCGAAGAGATTTACAGTTTTTAGTTGGTAACTTGTTTATTTGAAATCATTAAGGGTTTCAAATATAAATTTTAAGTTTCTACATTTTGACATTCAAATTTTTGATTTTTTTCAAATGACCATGGATGAAGATACCAAAGTTGTATCAGCAATGAGATCCAAGATTTTAGATTTTTTTTTGTTTGAGATTGTTTAGATCACAAATGTTGAATATAAGATTTCTAGAAGTTAATACAAATGAATATTATTCTATATATGGTTACAATTGTGTGTTTGGTGTGGTCATAAGGAGGGATCACCTTGAGTAGGGGTGGTTGCTTCAAATCAAATATGTAGTACGTGGTGTTGGTTTCTTGTTTGATCCAAGCTCAATCTTAAACATATATAACAATCATTTATCATCCTCATCACCAAGTCAATTTCAACATGGTCCCAAGCATGGATATTGATCAATATATCAACAAATATACCACGTAAATGGACCATATATACACCTAGGTAATTAAGGTAAGAACAGAGATAGAAGTTGTCCAACTGAATACACGCAAATGGACCATATATACCATATATTACATAGAATTGAGTCATGTTTGTACTCAAATTTCTCATATTGTGTAGCATTTCATTCTATTGAAAGGTCAATGTACATCTTTTATGTGTCCATGTACTACCTCCAAAAGGATGAAATTCTAGGTCTTTTCTTAGTAAAACTATCCAAAGTTTGACAAAATTTGTAAAAATGAGTATTAATATTTATGACACTAAATAGGTATATTATGAAAATACATTCTATAACAAATCCAACAACAGTTTTTTGGTATCATAAAATTTTCATTATGGAGGAAGTATACGCTAACTACTAAGTTTGTGCCTTCAATGGCAACGATGGTCTAACCGATAAGTGAGATTTAAATGTTAGCGATTGATTTGATTTTCTCTCTTGTTGTTGTCAGTATGGACTTTGAATTCAATAGATCCAAAATGTAACTTATGCTTCACAAGAAACAAGTCAACTCTTTACAAGTTAGAACGTCTCCAAACAATTTAGTTATTCGAATGAATGTAGCCATTAAGTTCGATCATGCACCCTCCCTTTCTAGGCTCTACGCCAAGATGGTCACATAGCAAACTAAGTAGTTTCCCCTGTAGTAGTGGATACTCCAGCAGCTTCAAAATACAAGTCATTTCTATTTTTCTCTAGCTTTGACTCAAGTTTATTTAACTTTGAATAAGCTTATAGAGAAAAATACAAACATTAAGTTACAAAACAAATGCACTTTAGTAGATTTGATAAACTAATTTATGTTCAGGATGTGTGTGCACTTTCTATAAGAAAAAATGGTTAAATTACACTACCGGAGACAGTCTCTTTGCCGAGTGTCCTAGACTTTGCCGAGTGCTTTTTATCGGGCACTCGGCAAAGAGGTTGTTTGCCGAGTGCCAGAGAGAAAGCACTCGGCAAACAACTGGCACTCGGCAAAGAGTTGGTTTGCCGAGTTCCGAGCATTCGACAAACAATAACACTCTGCAAAAGTGGTCTTTGCCGAATGTTATTCTCCTGACACTCGGCAAAGCTGACACTCGGCAAAGGGCCGCCGCTGTTAACGGCCGGCAGCCGCCGTTAACCCTTTGCCGAGTGTCTTCTCCTGACACTCAGCAAAGCGGTGATTTGCCGAGTGTCATTTTTTGACACTTGGCAAACTATATTTTTTTTACTTTTGACCTCCAAACTTTTTTGTCATCCTCATACAATACCTGGTACTCCATGTTCCAATGTGGCACATTTCTCGGACTTTTTCTATATTTCTTTAATTTATTTCATTTAATTGAATTTTCTTAGATAATTCAAATTATAACTGCTAGTCATTCGAATAATGAAAAAAATGAATGGAAAAATGATATTCATGCTATTTAGTATAATGTGAGGCCGTATCCAGGAACAGACCACCAATTTCGAACATCTTGTTCACGAAACATGACCACGAACTTACGGTCGAGTTGTTTTTAAATTCTATAAAAAACAAACGAAGTCCGAAAATCATGAAACTTGTCATGATGTCATGATATCATATGTGGAGGCTGTGATAACAATGTGAGAAGGTTTCGCGCAAGTTGTCACGTACGATGCTTGTAAACCGAAGAATCTCCAAAGAAGTTTCATGATTTCGTGAAGAGGCCGACAAGGTGGTAAGCATCGTACGTGATAACTTGCGCGAAATCTTCTCAATTTTTTATCACAGCCTCCACATATGATATCATGATATCTTGACAAGTTTCATGATTTTTGGACTTCGTTTGCTTTTTATAGAATTTAAAAACAACTCGACCGCAAGTTCGTGGTCATATTTCGTGAACAAGATATTCAAAATTAATGGTCTGTTCCTGGATACGACCTCACATTATACTAAATAACATCAATACCATTTTTCCATTCATTTTTTTTCATTATTCGAAGGACTAGCCGTTATAATTTGAATTATTCAAGAAAATTCAATTAAATGAAATAAATTTAAGAAAATATAGAAAAAGTTCGAGAAATGTGCCACATTGGAACATGGAGTACCAGGTATTGTATGAGGACCAAAAAAAATTTGGAGATCAAAAATGAAAAATAAAATATGGTTTGCCGAGTGTCAAAAAAATAACACTCGGCAAATGAGCCTCTTTGCCGAGTGCCGGGACGTATGGCACTCGGCGAAGAATTAAAAAAAATATAACGTGTTCTGTGGTCATTCTATCCTTCCGTCACCAGCTTGATCTCGTCTTCTTTCATGCTCGGCCGCCGATGCCCCTTTGCAATTGATCAGGAGGGCACAACAGTTGCAACTCGTGTGTAACGTGGACAGCAACAAGGTTATCCTTTCTTATTGATCAGGTGGACAGCAACAATTAATTTTTTAAACCCTCTTTGCCCAGTGACAGTTCGGGTGGCACTAGCAAAGAATTTTTAAAAAAACACTTAGCCGAGCGCTAAATTGAGAACACTCGGTAAAGAATTTTTTTAGAAAAGAAGGAGAAGAAAAAAATAAGAAAAAAACTTTACCGAGTGCTCAGATCTAGAACACTCGACAAACCCTGCTTTGCCGAGTGTCAGATCTAGGACACTCGGCAAAAAATAAATAAAAAAAAAAAAAATCATTTGCCGAGTGTCAGATCTAGAACACTCGTCAAACACTGCTTTGCCGAGTGTCCCCACATTCGGCAAAGCTGCTATACTATATAACTATACGGCGACGCACAACAGCCAGGCAAATCCGAGGGTGGGCAGCTCACCCAGCGGGGCGTGAGTCAGCGCGCGCTGCGATGGAGCGGCGGGTGCAGCAGCCCGGCGACGCGCAACAGCCAGGCAAGGACGGCGGCGGCGACTCTCCTCCACCGCAACCGGTAAGACCCGCTCTCCTCCTGCTGCACAGAGCCCCACGAACCTTCTTGTACATCTTCATCCCGCGGAAGGTCTGATTGCTGTCTGCTGTTTGCCTGTTGTCTGCTTGCCGCGGAAGGTCTCCTTCTCCTGCTGCACCCACTCTCCTCGAACTGACGCGCTTGCCGTCTGCTCACCACTTGGCAGTTCTTTGAGGTGACGTGCAGGAGCTCCGGCAAGGTCCGGCGGTTCGCGTCAGGGACGACGGCCCGCTACGCGCTGCACGCCATCAACCTCAAGCTCGAACTCGGGCCCCGCCGGCGCTGCACGTCGAGGCCGTCAGGGACGGCGAAGAGCCCGTCAGCTTTGGCCCCAGCGCAGCCCTCGTCGACTACTGACCGCGGTGGAGAGGTCGCAGATCGTCACCGCAGCAGGGGCGCCGGGGATCCATCACGCGCCGCACGCGGAAAGGCAGCGGCGGCGGTTTTTTTCGAAAATTCGTTGCCGAGTGTCGATTTAGCACTCGGCAAAGGCTTTGCCGTCACGGTGGCGCTCGCCGTCACGGCGACTTTTCTTTGCCGAGTGTCAGATTAGCAGTCGGCAAAGGATTTGCCGAGTGCCCGATAAAGTGTACCCGGCAAAGAGGTCTTTGCCGATAAACTGTTTACCGAGTGCTTTTTGCCGAGTGTATATCGACCTTTGCCGAGTGCCTGAGGCTGTCTGAGGCACTCGACAAAGAAGCTGAGTCCGGTAGTGTTAGTCAGGGAAATTTGACTTAGGATAACGACTTACATTTTGGAACGAAGGAATTATACGTGTATATATATTTAGCGAAAATGAAAAGGATACTAATAGTAACCATCAGTTTAATTAATATATTAAATATCCGGGCCGAGGTGACGCAATTACCCCAGGCCCTCCAGATACATGCAAATACCTGGTGCTGTGCTAGCGCACCACTCGCGAGTCCAGCTCCAGGACGCAGATATTTGGACGGGATAGATGGGATGCAGCAGACTGGACTGGTAGCAGCTGCATCGCGGCGAAGTAGAAGTAGCCAAGTAGGAGAAGGAGTAGGAGCGGCACAGGGCAGGCGCGGGGCGAGAGCTTGACGCGGCAACCACCGCTGCACTGCAGCCCTCCCTCCCCCTCCTCCGAGGTCCAGAGTCGGGCCGGAGAGCTCAGCAGCAGCTCATCAGCTCGCTCGCCATGTATGCTAGCTTTTGCTGCCATCCGTCGCGTGCCTTTTCCCGTTTTCTGCTCTCCCCTCCCCGCCTGCTTGCTTTTTCCTGCGATGAGATCTTTGGCTTGGTTGGTTTCTTTAAGACCTGAGCGTCCAAATCACCCTGCCTTTTGATCCCAATTTCCTCCTTTTCCCTTGCCCTCCCAACACAAAGCAAGATTCTTGCTTGGCCGAGGTAAAGGGGGCCTAGCTATCTGCTAGCTGCTAGTGCTGCTATTCTTGCCCGCCCGATTGCTACTTGCAACGCATCTTATTTGACTTAATTAGCTTGCTTCTGTTTTCTTTCTTTCTTTCTTTCTGATTATACGATATATATTTTCTCTGGTATATCAGTGTCTTTGTTCCTCTCGATGATCATGCATGCCGTCTGGGCTGGTCGATGAGCTAGCTAGTATCAGTAGCTAGAGCCATGGATCAGTGCTGGCCGGCCGCTGGTCTCTGCTGCTGCTGCTGCTGCTGCTGAGCACTAACTACCTCTCCCACTTCTTGTAGCTATGTCAGGAAAGATTTATCTGGTCGGGAGCGCTCTCCTTCTCTGAAACACTGAAGCTCCAGCTGCCTGACAGCCACTTTGCACGACAACACAAAAAGTGAGTTCTCCCTTTCCTTGTGTTCCACTCAGCTGCGCTTAATTTGCTGATTGCCGCGTTGTGTTGTGTGTGCTTTAAGCCAAGAGAACAGCTACCGGCCGATCGACCGAGATGGCGCACGATCCCAGCTTGGGCTTCGCTGACTACTTCTCGGCGGCGGCGGGCGCCACGGCGATGGACGACGACGACGGGGCGCCGGAGCTCTATGGCTTGCACGCCGACATGGAGTACCTCGGCATGCGTGGCCTGGCCGCCATGCCCGCTGCGGCACACCACCATCATCATCACGGCCACGGCCACGGCCACAGCAAGGCCGGTGTACTCCTCGACGACGACGCGGGGGTGGAGCCAGACGGCAGCGGCTCCACGGACGACGCCACCATGCGCTTCCTGAGCGAGCAGCAGCATCCGAGCCAACAGGCGCCGCTGTCGCTATCGCTGTGCCGGCCGGACGGCGGCGGCGTGGGCGTGGGCGTGACGACGTTGCACGAGCAGCACCTCGGCGGCGGGTCGTCCCGGTACCATCAGCAGCAGCCGACGCCCGCGGTGTGGGTGCAGCAGCACGACTACTCGCCGCAGGGGCCGCAGCCGCAGCACGCGTGGCACCTGCGTGGCTCCAGGTTCCTCGTCCCGGCGCAGCAGGTCCTGCAGGAGTTCTGCAGCCTCCCCGTGGACAGCAGCAGCGCCGCCGCCTCCAGCAAGCGCGCCAAGGCCGACGCAAAGCTGTCCTCGCACCACCAGCAACAGCAGGAAGACGGCGGCGGCGGCGGCGGCGGGTCGTCGTCGTCGGCCTCGTGGGCGCCGTCGCCGCAGATCCAGGCCATGGATGCGCTGGAGCTGCAGCGGCTCAAGGACAAGCTCTACATCATGCTGGAAGAGGTGAGCTCTAGCTCGCAAGCAAGGCAGCTCGGGTCTCGCTCGCTCGCTCGCTCGCTAGCTAATCCATGATTAGGCTCTGCTCCAAGACGAATCTGAGGAGGGGGACGGAGAATAAGAAAAAAAAAGCTAACAGGAAAGAAAGTACTAGGAGTTCAATTATGGTTGCCGGAAGGGTGCACCTGCGACTAGGGCAGGCAAGGGACGCCATTCTGGGGCCTCGCCCTTCGCTTTTGGAAACCTCTATTCTCTCTCGCCCTGTCGCCCACCTTAGGTATCTTGCATCTATCTACGCTGGGCCGCTGGGGGCACTGGGGCAGGGGGGTCCCCTCCCTAGCCGTAGTAGCCGGCCACCCCCAGCCGGCCGGCCGGCCGGACGGCCGGTCATACATGCCATGCAGCTGTGCTGTGCAGCCTGCGGCAGACTCGCGCGCACAGTCTCTGCACAGCGCCATGACCTGCTGCCTTTCGCTTCTGCATGCTGCTACCTACACTGCCTTCTTTGCACGCCCATGCCTCGGCTCCATCACACAGTTGTCACAGGCAGTTTTTGCTGGTACTGTGCTCACCTGTTGCACCAGGCAGCCGCAGCTCGATCGGCTCGGCTAGCTCATGCATGTGAATTGGACCTCGCGGTCGCAGCTGCAGAGTTCTAGTTCTAGGGGTGGTCACCAGAAGGGCGGCAGAGGCAGCAGTGGAAGTGGGCAGTGGCTCTTGTGTGGACGACCTCTGCAAGTTACTGTACCAGCAGTTGTTTCCGTTTCACTGTTACAGTGGCCGGCCCTCACTTGTTACTGGCTTACTGCGCGCGTCGCGTCGGTCTACGTGTGTCCATCTGTGTCCTGCCTCTGCCTGCACCTGTGGTGGTAGTATTTGTTGCGTACTAGTGCTACGAATCTAGCTAGTGGAGCAACTAGTAGGAGTGGAAAAGTATGCACGTACGGAATGCGTCTGTAAAAATTGGTGTATTGTGCATGTAGCCATCGTCATGTACTCGTACATACGGTGCTGACAAGGTTGCATTGCTTGCATGGTTCGCGTGCACAACATTTGCAGGTGGACCGGAGATACCGTCGGTACTGCGAGCAGATGCGGGCGCTGGCGGGTGGGTTCGAGGCGGTGGCCGGTGAGCGCGCGGCGGCGGCGTACACGGCGCTGGCGTGGCGCACCATCTCGCGGCACTTCCGGAGCCTCCGGGACGGCGTGGTGGCGCAGCTGCAGGCGGCGCGGAGGGCGCTCGGGGAGAAGGACGTGGCGGTGCCCGGGATGACGCGCGGGGACACTCCGCGGCTGAGGGTGCTGGACCAGTGCATCCGCCAGCAGAAGGCGCTCACCCAGGCCGGCATGATGGAGAGCCACCCGTGGCGCCCGCAGCGCGGACTCCCCGAGCGCGCAGTCACCATCCTCCGGGCATGGCTCTTCGAGCACTTCCTGCACCCGTAAGCATGCATGATCGATGCACTTCCCTTCCATGCTATTTTTTTTTCTACTCCGGCCTACTATATATTCTGAATGTTAGTTTGATCTTGTTACTTTGTTAGGGCTTATTATTACAAGGGTAGGTAAGATTTTCAATCGGTTTTATATATTTTATAAGCTGCTGCTGCTTACTACAGTTTTTTATATATGAACTGAACACAAGTGCAAGGGCTAGTGTTAAGCAGCTAGCAGCTTGTCGGTGGTACAGGCTACTACTAGCTAACGCAATTAGTTAGCGCGTGACCATTAGTTGTGTGATAGATGGTATCTTCCAGTCGGCTAAGTTTTCTTGGAACGATTTATTCCACAGGCCGCAGCATTGTTCTTTCCGGACCACAGTTTGTCTTGGCCGGTACTGCGCATCAAATGCTTGCTCAAATGGCCATGAGCCAAATTTGTCCACCAGATGCTACTTAAGCATAGACGTAATGTCATGCGTCCTTACTAATTCAGGGCAGTCTCAATGAAAAAAACTAGTAGTTCCTATAACTTAGGATACTGTACCAAAAAAGTACTATTTTTTAACCCATGGTTTTTATGAGTAATAATTATTTTCTCTTTCTCTCTCCCAACTCTATCTTCTTCCTCTAATGGGAGTGCGACACGAGCCCCTAGAAACTGGTGGTTTCTCCCCAATGGCGATTTCATGGTTTCTTGGTGTATTGGGTCAAGAGTAAACCTGATTTCTTCATGAGAAAACCATTTCTATGATTTTTGCTCTCTTTCTTCATTAATTATGTTGCCATGTCAGTGTTTTGCCTACATGGCAAGTCATTTAATCAGGATAGAAACCATCATCAATACACCATTGGGAGTGCCCTCAGTGATGCAAAGCCACCAGCTAGCTACCTGCCTTCCTCATGTTTTTCTTCATGCATGTGTAGTACTATAGCTTTTAATTAATCTGCGTTTGAGCTCCATCACAAGCATCATATATGTATATCTTTTCATTCACACAAATTGAATGCATACTACTACTTCATGCATGTGCTAGTGTTGTTAGTATTTTGTTTTTTTTTCAGAAAAAAATAAACAAGGAGCCCCAAACTTAATTAATATTCTGTTCGTATCTCATATCATCTCACAGGTATCCAAGCGACGTGGACAAGCATATCCTGGCTCGCCAGACGGGCCTCTCACGGAGCCAGGTACGTACGTGCCAACACACAAACTGGCTAGCTACTTCAGCTGAACGAGAAACTATCTATATGTATCATCCACGTCACTATAAAATAAATTCAAACTTAAATATAAGTAAATAAAGGCAAGAAAGGTTGAAATTTCAACATTATATTTATATTGCCGTGTTGTTTGCATCGATCGGGCATTATACGTTTGAATTGAAGAATATGATAATATGCGTGTGTACCAAACTGATTACACTACTTATACGCGATTGCGTGTTGCGTCCTGCTGATGATGATTCTTTCGATCCGCGTCGCGTAGATGACACATCAATTCATTGGTTGCCATGTCATGGTCGTGCCATGTCCTCTTGCGTTTTAAATGTCTCGACGAAAGATTCTTTGTTTAAGCGTCCATGATCCGCGTAGCTCTCACTACAACGACGTACACGATGACAGCATGCTTGCATTCCCATGCCGCAGGTGTCCAACTGGTTCATCAATGCGCGGGTCAGGCTCTGGAAGCCAATGGTGGAGGAGATGTACGTCGGGGAGATGAAGGCCGAAGGCCAGCTGGAAGACGGCGGCAGCGGTGGGGACCAGCAGCAGGGCGTCGTCAGCAACAACCCTAACCCGAGCAACGCCGCCGCCGAGGCGGCTGATGATGGCTGCGGGGACAACGGCGCCGTCGTCGTCGACCGGAAGCCGACGCGGGCACAGCTCCTGCACGACGCGGGCTCGCTCGCCTCGGTCGTCAACATCGGCGGCTCGCGCGCGGGAGCCGCCGCGCGGCCGCTCGAGAACTTCGGCATCATGGACCACCCCGACTTCGACGCGTACGGTGGCGGCGGCGGCCACCATGCCGGCGGGGGCTTCAGCGGGGGCGGCGGCGTGTCCCTCACGCTGGGCCTGCAGCAGCACGACTCCCACGACGGCGGCGGCGTCAACATCGCGTTCGGCGCGCCGCCGCAGCCCGCTCACCACCACCACGGCGCCGCCTTGGGGTACCTGTTCGCTCCGACGACGACGACGGCCGGCCATCAGATGGGCGGCGGCCTGCACCCGGGACAACACCACGTCCAGTTCGGCGGCGCCAGCATCGACGGCGAGGCGGCGCAGCAAGGGCAGGAGCACTACCGGAGCCTGCAGGGTGCCGGGTTTCACCTCCTGCGTGACCTGGCCGGGTGATCTGATCCACCACCCATCGGCGGTCGGCCCCTCGCGAGCTCTAGCTCCGAGTGAGTTGTGACCGATGGGGACGTCGTGCCGGTGCCTAGCTACCTACGGGTGCCGCTGCTGACGGTTGCATGGCATGCACTCGCGCGCGCTGTGTACACCTGATTTGTTTGGCTAGTTGCTTGCCTGGTTCATGCCGCTCTTGGTCTCGAACGCCACCGCCGCTCGTCGACGCCGGCGCGCGGTTTGGCCGGGGTTAGCTAGCTGACAGAGTTATATATATATGTAGCGTGTACAGATCGATCGGATTTCGGATCGCGGGCAGTTTGGACGCGCGCAGGTGCAGCTAGATAGTAGTAGTAGCCCGCCGTAACTGCGTAGTTGAAACACGCATGCATGCAGCTTAAATTGCATTATTGTTTGTCAAATTGGTGAAGGATTCAACAGCTCAATTTATGCCAGGCAATATGATGTTCCTGACAGAATTTTCATCAGGTCATATGTGGCTGGTGCCTGGTGTAGGTCTCGTTTGGATAGGTTTAACTTTTTATGGTGAGAGAGCTAGTTAATAGCTACTATAGCTTTTTATAGTTTTTTTATATCGCTTTTTATATGTTGGAGTATAAGCTAGACTGTTTAGATCAGCTAGAGTTTTTTTTAACAACTATCAACTTAGTTTAGTTAATCCAAACATGATAGTAGTTTACCTAAGGCATGGCAGTGAAGGAGAGAAGATTCACCCTACTGCAGCTTGCGAACATGCATGCAATATGCGCCAGGATTGAATCCTAGCAGCAAATAAACTTATGACACTACTGTCAAAGCATAAATGAGTCATTAATGCATGGATGTAGGTGTGAAAAATCAGTAATAAATACTTTCCCCAACTGTGTTAATATAAGTTCATTGGTTTATCCTAAATTCTAATAAGTTACTTTTTTAACTTTGACCATAAATTTCTAAATTTTATATAGGTTAACCACGCAAGATTAATTAGTATAATCTGATTTCAGTATAAAAAAACTTTCATAAAGCATAATTTACTCTCTTCATTTAAGGTAATATGTTTTTGTTAGATGACGTTTGCTAGTCAACCAATGTTAAAAAAAAGGTTAACTTTGTACAAATGTAGATGACTTATTTATATCTATGGTTGGATGAAGTTGCCATTTGAATTAACATATGCAGCAGCGTGAAGAATCAAATATATATAGTTAACACAAGTGAGTAAATATCAACGAGTTTTTCTACAGAAATAATAATAAAAAAAAAGAAAGATCGGCAGTTATGTAAAATACATAAAAGATGTCGATCGTAATCGTAGTTAATCGTCGGGTTGCTTTAACTGCCCAAACACTGCAACCAGCAATCATTAGGCATACTTTAGCAAAATTTTAATTATTTTTGTTGAGACCACAATGACGGATTTGTGTACAGCTTCCAGGATTTGGTCAGGTAGGATGTCACTATCGTATCTGAAAGTTCTAGCGTCACAACAGGAAGAAGAACAAAAGATGTCCATCATATCATATCGCAAATGCTGTTATCTCAGGAACACCTTCGTCACTAGCATCGTGCTTTACATATTCAAGATTCGTCCTCGTACGTGAGGTAGGGGTAAAACACCTTTTTTAAGATAAGTACTAGTTAACTGTACCCAAACCCACAAACAAACAAACAACCCCGCGATATCCTAGCTTGGTCCTTTAACCAAAAGTAAGAAAACATAAAAAAAAATTATGGAAGGAGTACATAATAAAGTTTACGGGCAGTGGACATGGTTATGGAATCTTTAGTCTTCTATAAATTCGTTTGAACTTTTCTTGAGTATTAGGCAAGTCTTACTATTAAGAGGGGTTGAGATCAAGTCAACTGCAAGTGTCTAAGCCTTCAAAGGTATCTAACCAAAACATAGACATTATAAAAAAATTCTGGCACTAATGGAGACCAGAATTTCCCTGTTGGTGTGTGAAACTGACAGGAAAATACAAAAAATTGACAGAAAAATTAGAAAATGCATTTCTCTGTCGATACACCGACAGAACAAAAGCGATAGAAAAATAAAATTTCTCTGTTAGTGGATGAATTTTCTTGTCAGTGAAGCAATTTCCTTGTCGCTACGATGTCGACAAGAAATTTCGTTGACATCGACATGAAAATTCGATGACATCAGATTCAGTTTTCCACCCTTGCCATAGTAACCCGACACGGAAATTTGTGCCCACCATCAAAACAACACATGAGCCAACAAGAAAAATAGGATCTATAAAACAATCAGTTTTAGTTTAAATCAGTTTTAATTTTCCAGTAGCGTGGATACTTCTCAAACGTGACGCGACTATTGAGGGGTCATATATTTCGCTTGTGTACTGGGAATTCGAATCAAGGTTTGATTTAATTCCACATTGGAATTCCCAATCAAGGGATCAAAATTTCAGGGACCTGATACTCTTTCGAGTTCAAACTGTGCATACACTGTTACTTTCCTAGGGGACGGAAATTCTGGTCTTTGCTCAAATTTCCAGGACTTGCCTGTTTTACACAATAACAGTTAGCTGAAAGATGGGGCCTTTTTCCGCCTCCATGCCTTTTCCCAATTACTTCCTTATCGTCTAAATATTTCCTAATAATAATAATAATACCATTTGGTAGCAACCTATTCACACAATCATGAAATAAAGTGCATAGGAACGAGGTCAACTGTAGATTTATTTGCCATGCTCGTGCTCTAGTAATTGCTCCTCGCGTAGCAACTTGAAGAGTGTTGTGTGTATCCATAGGAGTGATGTCCTCATCACCCCACACACACATTCTCACATCATTCGGTCACTTAGACCTAACTCAAGACAAATACACTAGTGCTCCCCTCTCCCTCTCTTGCTTATTTTGATTTGGATTTGTTGACGTCTTTGAGGGGCATTGAGTTGCAGTGAGTGGTTGACCTTGTGAGCATCATCTCGATCTTCAATTTTGATTTGTTACCCTTGGGTTTGTTGAATCCTAGACGATTAGGCGTCACCTGCTTGAAACCCTATTGGTTGTGGATTACTATGAGAAATTTGTATTACCCAATTCTTTCTAATGGAATCATCGGTGTCGCGGGGTCGAAACCGCGGCAAGCATGTTGTTGGAATCAGTGTCAGAGCACGAGTTCTGTGGTGGCTCGGGTGGACTCAGAAACACAAGAATTATGTAGAGAATACGCAACGGTTTATCCTGGTTCAGGCCAATTCGGTCCCTACGTCCAGCAGCAGATGATCCTTATACTCAAGAGCACCCAAAATCTAGGGGGTTACAACAGAGTATAAACGATGAAGATTTGATAGGGGGTTAGCTTGGTGCTAATCCTAAGGTTGCCTCGTCGCCGGTGGAGTCTCCCTCTCATCGGAGAGGAAGGAGACGACGGGATGCGGTGGAGGAGGAGCTCTCGCCCCTCTCTGGGTTGCCTTGCTCTCGGTGCAGAGCGGAGGCGGATGGAATGGAATGGAGTGCCTGGTGATCGAATTGGGATCCTCTCCTCTAGGTCCGACCATATCCCTTATATAACGAGATAGGTCGGGTACAAGGCGGTTTGGGGGTTTAGTCTATGGTCTACGTGCGCCGGAGTCCAGGAGGGCCTTGCAGTGGTGCGCCGTGGAACGTTGAGGTGTCTTGGAGCCAAAGAAGCCTGGACGTCGTCCGGCTGCTCTGTTCTGACACTCTGTGTGTCAGAGGGTGTCAGTTTGGATCAGCCTCCCCCAGGTGAGACCTTCTGGAATCTTTCTGGTGGCGAAGGAGGTCGGTTCCGGGGGCTGACGCGTGGGCCCGGAAGCCCCAGAGCCCCCGGAGGCCGCTGGAAGCTTTGTCTTCTTGTGTCACGCCCCGGATGTGACCCTACCGGAGGAGCAGTTGGTAGGGGCATGCCTAGTGAGTGACGCCAGGGAGCCCCCGGGCATCGGTAGCCTGGGGCTTGTCTTCTTGTGCCCGAGCCTTGGCTAGCATCGTTAGCCGAGCAGGAGTCAAGGACCGGGCTTGGTCGTGCCGTAGATCGAGAGCCCAGGGCTCGGGAAAGCCCCCGAGCCCCAGGCAGAAGCGGCAGTCGAGTTAGGCTTGGTCGGGCCTCTTTGCCTGAGGGTGCGCGCGAGCATGCCCGATGGGCATAGCCCTCGAGCCCCCGGTCCATCCTGAAGGGGTCGATCGGGTGGTCTTCTTTGTTCGGGAACCATTGGACTCGAGGCTTAACATACCTGTATGTTAGGATCTCGTCAATCGGGCTTGATCTTTTTGGTCGCTTGACAAGAGGGCGTTGAAAGAGATTCAAGACCTTTGTGGTGTGGCTGGAGCTCGGGATAACCTATGTGTTCTTGCATGCTTGCCACTTCATACTTCACTTCCCTCTCTTGATCTACTTATTGTGAAGTTGCAGTTGAATTTTATCTTGTGGAACACTCTCTACACACTCCCCAACAAATGTGGTAATTGTAGATATATTAGCCCGGTTGGGTGACACCTACAACAGGTATCGTCGTACTCTTAAATCGTTTGCCGGTGAGATAGATACTATCAAGGGTTTAAGTTTATCTATTGTAATCGACTATGCAATCGTTTGCTCATGAATTATGCCAGCATGTCGATAAAACATCTTACTTCGATATGGATTGATATATATATCGTAATCAGACAGACTTAGGCGACAATCAGTAAAGTTCAGTACAGCCAAAGATGGATTGATATATATACACCATGAACCTGATAGCGAGGATGACTGAAAGCTCACAGGCCGAAACAGGTTATGTAGGAGACCGATCCTACAAAGACAATTTGCCCATTGACCAGGCTATTTATAGTCCAACAAATTCAGGTTATTTATAGTCCAACAAAGACAATTTGCCCATTGAAAGCCGCGCAACACCTGTCCTCCCCTCCTCAGAGTTTGCCCATGAACACGTGGACTGCGCCGGGAGCTGCTATATTAAACCCATGCCATCATTGTCGGCGATCGCTGCTCGTTTTTGCCACTTCTCGATCATGGCCATGCACCATCATCGGCTCATCGCAGGCGTCCCTGATCTGGCATGAAAGGAGGAGGCGCCATTGTGATGCACGCCGCCGCCCGCAAGCAGGTGCCCAAGTCCAAGACCTCCTTCTTCCTCTACATCCTCCTCCTCTACGTACTCCTGCCCGTGCTGGTGCTCTACGTGGTCGCGCTCGCCGTGTCCCCGTTCTACTCCCGCCCGTGCCCGCAGGACGGCGGTGCCGGTGACGTCGCTCGTCTCGCGGCCGCCGCCGATGGCAAGTGGCATAATAATAGCAGCTCGTCGTCTACCTCGGTGACGCGGCTTCCGCCGCCCAAGGCGCGGCCGAAGCCGAAGGCTTCCGCGGACGACGATGCCGCGCCCACCGGGCTGCGCCACATTGTGTTCGGCATCGGCGCGTCGTCGTCGCTCTGGAAGAGCCGGAGGGAGTACATCAGGGTGTGGTGGCGGCCGGGGGAGATGCGCGGCTTCGTGTGGCTGGACAAGCCGGTGCCGGAGCTGTACTCCAGGAACGCCTCCTCGGGTCTCCCCGGCATCAAGAACAGCGGCAACACGTCCAGGTTCCCCTGCACGCACGGCGCCGGCAGCCGGTCGGCGCTGCGGATCACGCGCATCGTCTCGGAGAGTTTCCGGCTGGGCCTCCCGGGCGCGCGGTGGTTCGTGATGGGCGACGACGACACGGTGTTCTTCCCGGACAACCTGGCGGAGGTGCTGTCCCAATACGACCACACGCAGCCGTACTACATCGGGAACCGTCGGAGAGCCACATCCAGAACCTCATCTTCTCGTACGGCATGGCGTTCGGCGGCGGCGGGTTCGCCATCAGCCGCACGCTGGCAGCGCAGCTGGCGCGCATTCAGGACGGCTGCATCGAGCGATACCCCGCACTTTACGGCAGCGACGACCGCATCCACGCGTGCATGTCGGAGCTGGGGGTGCCGCTGACGCGCCACCTGGGCTTTCACCAGTGCGATCTGTGGGGCGACGTGCTGGGCCTCCTGGGCGCGCACCCGGTGGCGCCGCTGGTGTCGCTGCACCACTTCGACTTCCTGCAGCCGGTGTTCCCGACGGTGCGGTCGCGGACGCAGGCGCTGCGGCGGCTGTTCGCGGGGCCCGTGGCGCTGGACCCGGCGGCCGTGGCGCAGCAGTCGGTGTGCTACGACGCCGGCAAGGAGTGGACGGTGTCCGTGTCGTGGGGTGTTCGCGGTGGTGGTGCTCAGCGGGGTGCTGTCGCCGCGGTAGATGGAGACGCCGATGCCGATGCGGGCGTTCCTCAACTGGTACCGCCGCGCCGACTACACGGCGTACGCGTTCAACACGCGGCCCGTGGCGCGGCACCCGTGCCAGAGGCCGCAGGTGTACTACATGCGGCAGGCGCGGCTGGAACGCTGCCGGCGCAACCGCAACACCACCACGGTGACCGAGTACGAGCGGCACGGGGTGCCGCCCGCGCCGTGCCGGTGGCGCATCCCGGACCCCGCCGCGCTGCTGGACCGCGTCGTCGTGCTCAAGAAGCCCGACCCCGAGCCCTGGAAACGGGTACGTACGCGCGTCGTGCATATCTCAGTTCTGGTCCTTATCGATCGTACGGCAGACATACGTGGCAATGTGGCATCTTGATGTGACTAGACTAGCTATGAACCTTGCGTGCAGGCCCCGAGGAGGAATTGCTGCAGGGTGGTGTCGTCGCCGACGGTGGGGAAGGACCGGAGGATGACCATCGACGTCGGCGTCTGCAGAGACGGCGAGTTCGCCAGGGTTTTTAGGCAGGTCGGTCTCTTCTTCTTTTTCTTTTTGAAGGAAATCTCTTCTTCTTTTTGACTGACAATGGCAAACAAAAATTCTCCTTGAAGTCATACATCCGCTCGCCCCGTCTGCAGTTTGCGCAGGGGAAGTAGGAGATAGAGTGGACGGCGGAATGGGGAGCGATCGAGAAAATGGCTGTTTCAGATCCACGGATCATGGAGCACATGTTTTCAGAGATCGGGCTGGTTGGAGAAGAAAGGACTCAGCAACAAGGCAGCAACCCGTTGCAGGTGGGGCTTAAGGAACTCATCGGTTGGGGCAGCAACGTGCTGTCACTGTACTGATGGAGTGTAGCTGTAAAGTGTAAACTGTAGAGGCGTATAAAGATGATGAAACGGGGCGAGAGCTTTGGTGATGTGAAACACTGAAACTAATGGCATCCTGCGCAGATGAGACGAGGCACTCTTTTGTTTGAAAGGCGTGGGTTGGCTATGGCACTGTTTGCAATTCGAAGGTCATCAAAAACATGATCCTGCTGAAATCTCCCCGGCTAAGCACAACGTGCGTGCCAACCGGCCCGGGACGGATTTAATTAGACCCAGGTAGATTTTGGCCCATTAAGAGGTGCTGTGTTAGTCCTATGCTACGAAGTTGGGTTGGACTGGGCCTATCTCGACCGTAAATTATGTATGCACTATGGGATGTCCACGGTCTGCTAATAATCGCGTGTTTTGATCAGAAAAAATAATATAAGGTATATTTTATTCATTAGTTTCTCTCTTATAATATCGTATCAATTTTTAAGGTCTGAAGCAATCGCATGTAATATCATATATCATATCAAGTTTGACCAAAATTATTGAGAGAATTACAAATACAAAAATTTATAACCCTGCTGGCTACCTTGGGCGAAGGCGTCTGTGGCATAGCTTCGTTCGGCCATGGCATGGCCCCGTCAGAACCACCCCCGCCAGGGGCTTACCAGGAGCCGTGACGCCACCGGCAACAATGGTGCCACCGCTGGCTCCACTGGTGACAGTGCCGCCCCGCCGACACCAGAGACCGAGAAGAAGAAGTTGAGCAAGCTCGACGACTAGTTCCTGACTTGGTCCAGTGCCGTGGCCGGGAACGAGGACGCAGCGGCGAATGCGCTGGAGGCCACGACGAGATTCATGGATGTGTGGAATGTCCCGTCGATGTCCTTGTCAGTCGTTTAGGGTGCTCATCTTCTTCATGGTGGTCCCCAGTGACGGTGGGGCGACCCAGTACAAGGAGAGAGGGCACGTGCTCCCCTCAAATTCTAGGTTTTCAAAAAGAAAATCCTCTTTGGTGTACCAATAAAGGTCCAATTTTTGTTGTTCATCACCCTATATTGTCTAAAGATGAGGCTGAAATCTTGTTCGTCGTGCTCGATGCTCGATGCTCGTTTGACACCTTCGACAATATTATTAAAGAGTATATGAAAAGCTAAAAAAAAATCTTCATTATACTTGCTATCTGTTTTTTTTTTCCTTCGGAGCCAATATCGCCATAATTTGTTCCTCTTGGCATCATATAATTAATAGGGATGAAAACGGTATGAAATATCCCATACCGAACCGCATCGTTTTCTACATTTGATACGATCGAAAAATTATTTTCAGACAAAATTCGAATTCGGTTCGAAATATGGAATTGTATCTTCTTCATACGATCTCATATGAAGTTGGTTTTTATATGAAAATTATAGCTCTCGACAAGATTTCCAACTTTCTAGTTTTTAATTTTTTCATTTGAGGTTTTTAATATGTTAAAAAAATTAAATAAAGTTTCTGCAGTATATTAATCGCGTACAAGCGCTCGTTGCTTTAGAAAAATGGCAGAATAGTCATTTTGGTCCCTAAACTATTCCTCGAGGCCCAGTTTCATCCCTGAACTTTTAAAACGGTTATTTTAGTCCTGAAACTCTACTGTTTGGCTCAGTTTCATCCTAGAACTATAAAGATGATCATTTGAGTCCTTAAACTTTGCATTTTAGGCTCAATTTCATTCTAAAACTAGGAAGATGATCATTTCAGTCCTCAAACTTTGCATTTTCGGAGCGATTGGAGATATAAAAATAATAATATGAATCAAAAACTCTTTACTGGCCATTAATAATTCCAAGTTGTTATATTTAATATTACCTTATAATGGTACCATTTATATATATCCGACTATAAATGATTTTGTGGGAGCAATTACAGTTGCTTCAGAAGCTATTCTTTAAGAATACATGGATATATTAAATAGCAGATCTATAAATTTTTTTCTTAGCTACTTCTAGCGTTAGGCTCAACTAATAACCATGTGTATAGAATAATTATTTTTATCCATGGGATAAAAAAAATTCATATTTAAGAATATTTAGATTTATATTTATATTCATCTTAGAACATAAATACAAATGTTGAAAGTACCTAACGATGACTGTCGTGGGTGGTGCTATACACAAAGGATGAAGTTGTGCAAAAATACATTTTGATAATTCATGGACGAAATTGTGCATAAAACATAAAGTTTTCTTTTTGATAGACAGAATTGAGTTAAAAATAAATGTTTAAAGATAAAAATGCACTTTGGTAGTTTATGGATGAAATTGAGCCCACAATACAAAGTTTGAGGACTGAAACGATCGTGTTCGTAGTTCTAGGATGAAATTCAGCCTCAAAATAGAATTTGAGCACTAAAACAGCCGTTTTGAAGAATTAGGAATGAAAGTAATAGTTCAGGGACAAAAACGACTATTCTGCCTAGAAAAATCATATCTTTTTTATATGGTGTCGAATGGAGATATTTTTTATGAAAGCTATAGGACTTGTTAATTGTTATTCACTTGGTCATGCACTTTAATTATTATGCACTTAGTCCTACGGGTCAATATTCCGTATTGATTTTTCGTATACCGACCGTGTTCGACATAATTCCGCTCGAATTAGTTCGTTTTTGAAATTCTCAATATTTCATAAGTTCGTGTTCATTTTCGTGTCCGCTTTACTGCTTTCGCTTTCGTTTTTGTATTTATAAAATGTAGAAGCATAAAACTGGTTTTCCGACCGTTTTTTCCCGATTAATTAAGATGCAAAATGCAATTGCGTTGCCATCTACAAAAGCTTTAATTTGCATGTGTATTGTCTTCATTTATATCTAGACTGCTTTGCAATAGTTTCTCTTGCCATAATGGATATGAATTTAATTGAGTGGTATTTTTTCTCGACGGTTAGATCATCCTAAAGTGCAACAGTGGTATTTTTTCTTCTTCTTGATTAATCTCGTAACTTTAGGCTTTGTATTTGACATGCTTTTTTTCTCATCTGTTAGATCATCATAAATTCCAATGGTGCACATTCCTTTGTTTTTTCTGATTAATTTCGTAATTTCTAGACCTTGTATTTGGATACTCTTTATTCTCGGCTGTTAGATTATCCTATCAAAATTTGAAGACCGTGATATGCCATCCTGTCCCATATGTCATTGACTCGTGTGAGCCCCACATGTTAGTGAAATACCAATGTCATATCTCTAACTTTGCAAAATTATAATGGCACTATTCAAAAAACATCGTAATTTATATACCTTGTATTTTGGATATTCTATTTACTCTCGATCGTTACTCATCATGAAATCCAACGTTGTATGTTTTTTTCCAAATTAATCTCACAATTTATAGGCATTGTATTTGAAATGGATATTCCATTTATTCTTTTATTTTTGAACATATTGTTCCATTTATTCTCAGTTGTTAGATCATCATAAAATCAAAAGGTGCATATATTATTTTATTTTTCATAGTGCTCTATTTATTCTCTGTCATTAGATCATCATAAAATCCAATGGTACATATTCTTTAGTTTTCCGATACTCTATTTATTCTCGGCCGTTAGATCATCATAAAATCCAACGGCGGATATTCTTCTCTTTTTCTGATTAGTCTTGTATTTTCTAGACTCTCGAGACGAACGTGAGGCCTCCTTTTGATTTTGTTGTATTATATAAATATATGTTATTATTTTATTATAAAAGTTGATCAAACTTGAGATGCTTTAACTCTTCAAGAAAGTTGGAATGACTTATAATTTGAGAGGTTGAAGTAGCTCTTTGGATATTGAATTAGGAATTACAAAAACAGAGATGTAATTTTCTTGAGTAACACTTTTATAATCATATGCGTTCATCAGATTTGTAATTATGTTAAACTAAAGGTATACTATCACTTTTAAATATTTTAGGTGCTTGACTTTCTATTTTTGTTCAGTAAATATTTTATTTCATTGTTGTTTGACTAAAAAATTATGAATTGTATTTTATGTGTTATTTCTTAAGACAATTGTACGATTGTTGTCACATGAAACATAAAACTCCTCACTAAAAAAACTACTGCTGTTGCATCGAATAAAAAAAAAGCCAGGTGATAAAACACCCGGTTATTGTATATCATTTCCGAGCTTGTCTATCTAACACCTGAATTTTCCCCATGGATACTGTTCATCTTCCTCCGCTCTTCTCGTCCTCCTTGGCACAAATTATAAATCACAAGTAACATTTTTTCTATGAAAGGACAGAGACAAATTTGGTAGCGGCGCCGGAGTTGGGAAAGAAGCTCGCCGGACTTGAGGAAGATGTCGGGCGCGGCGGCGGCGCAGGCGCGGCGGACGTGCGGTTCCGCGGCAAAAAAATTCATGTGCCACCGGGTGATAAAACACCCGGGTGTTGTATAGCATTTCTGGAAGGAAAAAAAACTAGAAGACGGTTAGTGTGTATCGATTCATTGATTGAGGTTTGAAAATTTTATACCGTAGGAGCCTACCTTCTCCCTCCTTCCCAAAGAAAGCAAAGCCGCCTTTCCAACCGAATGGAACACATGGGTGACCAGTGGACGCACAAAGGAATTTGGAATGACCCAACCAGGCAACCAGCTCGCTAGTCTCCGTCCACTCCACTCCAGTCCAGGGCTCCTGTCCACCATCCCCGTGTCTTCCCACCATCCAAGTGCACCTTCCCCGTGCCCGACTCCACACACCACTGACCACTCACCACTCACGACTCAGTCGTCCTCGCCGCACTGGCTTATCCCCTCCGTCGCCTGCCACCCCCTCAGCCGGCATGCCTCCACTACCATCACTCACAATGGCTGTCCTCGTCCTCCTCCTCCTCACCACCTTCCTCCCGTCCACCGCCCTGGCCGCCTTCTCCCCGGCCTTCTCCTTCTTTCTCGCCTGCGGCGCCGGCTCCACCGTCACCTTCCCACGCGACAACCCAGCCCGCAACTTCACCCCGGACGACGGTTACCTGACCACCAAACGCGTCCCGGCGGTGACGAACGCCAGCCCCAACAGCGCCGCCTCCCCGCTCTACGCCGCCGCGCGCGCTTCCAGCTCCGCCTTCTCGTACAGGCTTTCTTTCTCCGACTCCGCCGGGCAGGCCGCGTTCCTCGTCCTCCGCCTCCACTTCTTCCCTTTCTCCCCTGCCTCGCCGTCCACCGTCAGCATCTCCTCCGCGCGCTTCGCGGTCTCTGTTCAGCTTCAGGACGCGTACACCGTGCTGTCCTCCTTCTCGCCGCCGAGCGCCGGCGTCGTCAAGGAGTTCTTCGTCCCGGCAGGCGCCTCCGGTGAATTCCGCGTCACGTTCACGCCGGACGCCGGCTCGGCCGCGTTCGTCAACGCCGTCGAACTGTTCCCGGCTCCAGCGGAGCTGCTGTGGAACGGCAGCGTGACGCCGGTGGGCGCAGGCGCGGCGGCCCCCGACAAAGCCGCGTGGCCGAAGGACGCGCTGGAGACAGTGTACCGCCTCAACGTGGGCGGTCCCGAGGTGACCAAGGAGAACGACACGCTCTGGCGGACGTGGCTCCCCGACGACCCCTTCCTCTTCGGTCCCGCGGGGGCCTCCATGCTGCAGAACACGACCACCGCGATCGTCTACGCCACCTACACCAGGGAGTTGGCGCCCGACGTCGTCTACAAGACGCAGCGCGCCGCGAACGTGTCGGCGGCCGGAGCAGGGGTGGTACCTCTGCGTTTCAACGTCACGTGGACCTTCTCGGCGGAACCGGGGTCCAACTACCTCGTCCGTCTCCACTTCTGCGACTACGAGCAGCTGAGCTCCGTCGTCGGAGTCGGCATCGTGTTCAACGTCTTCGTCGCTCAAGCCATTGGCACCCAAGACTTCACGCCCACACAGTTCGAGACGCAGCCGAACACGGCCTTATACATGGACTACGCGGCCACGGCGCCCATCTCCGGGAACCTCACCGTCAGCATCGGCATGTCCGCCAAGAGCAACCCTGGCGAAGGGGGCTTCCTGAACGGGCTGGAGATCATGAAGGTGCGACCTTCGGATTCGAGCTTGGAGGCTGGGTCACGTGGTAGCAGCAGGAGAGTTTTGATCATCGCGCTCTCGACCGTGCTCGGCGCCTCGGTTCTCGCCGCCGCCGCGCTCTGCTTGTTCTTCGTCGTGCGGAGAAAAAGGCGGATGGCGCGGCCGGCGCCGTTGGAGAATGAGAGCAGCAAGCCGCTGCCGTGGTTGCAGGAAAGCTCCGGGTGGGTGCTAGAGCCGTCGAGCCGGTCAGGCGAGGGCACGACCGGCGCGATGCAGAGGGTGAGCACGCAGCTCCACATCCCGCTGGAGGAGCTGAGGTCGGCCACCGACAACTTCCACGAGCGCAACCTCATCGGTGTGGGCGGCTTCGGCAACGTGTACCGCGGCGCGCTCCGCGACGGCACCCGCGTGGCGGTAAAGCGCGCGACGCGCGCGTCCAGGCAGGGCCTGCCGGAGTTCCAGACGGAGATCGTGGTGCTGTCCCGCATCCGTCACCGGCACCTGGTGTCCCTCATCGGCTACTGCAACGAGCAGGCGGAGATGATCCTGGTGTACGAGTACATGGAGAAGGGCACGCTGCGGAGCCACCTGTACGGGCCGGACTCCGACGGGGCGGCGCCGCTGTCGTGGAAGCAGCGGCTGGAGGTGTGTATCGGCGCCGCCAGGGGGCTGCACTACCTGCACACGGGCTACTCCGAGAACATCATCCACCGCGACGTCAAGTCCACCAACATCCTCCTCGGCGACGGGTTCATCGCCAAGGTGGCCGACTTCGGGCTGTCGCGCATCGGCCCGTCGTTCGGGGAGACGCACGTGAGCACGGCGGTGAAGGGCAGCTTCGGGTACCTTGACCCGGAGTACTTCAAGACGCAACAGCTGACGGACCGGTCCGACGTCTACTCCTTCGGGGTGGTGCTGTTCGAGGTGCTGTGCGCGCGGCCGGTGATCGACCAGGCGCTGGAGCGCGACCAGATCAACCTCGCAGAGTGGGCCGTCGGGTGGCAGAGGCGCGGGCAGCTGGACCGGATCGCCGACCCGCGGATCCTCGGGGAGGTGAACGAGAACTCGCTGCGCAAGTTCGCGGAGACGGCGGAGCGGTGCTTGGCGGACTACGGGCAGGTGCGGCCGTCCATGGCCGACGTGCTGTGGAACCTCGAGTACTGCCTGCAGCTGCAGGAGACGCACGTGCGGCGGGACCCGTTTGAGGACAGCGGCGCCGTGGGCGCGCAGTTCCCCGAGGACGTCGTCGTCCCGCGCTGGGTGCCGTCGTCGACGAGCTTCATGACGACGGGCGATCCGGACGACACGGTTGTCACGGACGTGGGCGTCGCCAACAGCAAGGTGTTCTCCCAGCTCAGCAGCGGCGAGGGCCGATGATGAGCGGCTGGTGGTGCCGGCGGACCGGCCTCTGCAAACAATCCGAGTCACCTACTGGAGTGTACTAATCACTGTTTTGCTATCGTTGCTTAGTTTGACAGTACCATAGATACAGTAATTCTATACAACACACATATGTATTTTAAAAAGAAAAAAAACACCTTGATTTTTTTTATCTCTCTCCTTCTCTCTTTTCCTTCCCTCTCTCCTTCCTCCTCTCTCTCTCTTTCTCGCTTTGTTGACCGAGCGGATGGGAATGAGGACGACGACGACCGATGCGTCCGCGATGGCATTCAATGCCGTGCCTCAGGCCACGTCGCACGAACCAGTGGGGAGGCGCCACCTCACCCCGTGGGCCCGCATGTCATTGACTCTGTCTTGTTGTCCTTTCGTAGAAAAAAAATTATGATCTGTGATGTTTGATCTGTGGATGCTGGAGGTAGAAGAAGAATAGAGGCTGTTGGATCTTAATTCTATGGTGTAAAAAAATTCATGTGTTGACGGTTGGGTAGACAGACTCCTGCAACCTAAAACTTCTGCGAACGCGATCCAAATTATCTGCTGTCCCTACACTCTGCGGGTCTGCATCAGGGGGTCACGGATAATCCATGTTCGTTGTAAGCGTGTGTGTGCATGCGGCCAAAGCAAATTGACCAGTGTCTGTCTGATTGATTGAGCTACATAATTTAGGCGCCTGTACGACTACTCGCATGGCAACAAAACTTTTGCGGCCATTTTCTTCTTCTCTGGTGGTCACACTCACACCAGACCACGCATAGACTAGCAGATAGTGTAGAACAGGGCAAGGTGCCAAACAAAGAAAGCTGGCCAGAAGAATTCTCAGTGGGGATATCTCGTTGAGTATCTACACCCGTGCCACACCTCTAAAAAAAAGGAATTAGGGCAACTCCAACCAAACCTTCAAATTTTGCCCCCCTATTCCTTCAAATAAAAGTCCCTCATCTATATTTCATCCCCTACTCCTCTGCACACTCCAACTGATCTCCTAATTTTTCCCGACTTTACACTGTATTGTTATGGATCCTATCTATCGGTCCCATTTGTCAGCTTTATGGGAAGAGAGAAAGCAGGATGAGGGAGTAGGATGAGGGACTCCTACATCTGGGGGTTCAGGAGAGAGAAATGAGAGTCCCTCATCCATCGGGGCTTGGTTGGAGAGGTTTTTGATGTGTTTGAGGTCTCAAAATAAGATAAGGGATCAAATAGGAGTTGTCCTTAGTGATTCTCAAGTTGAATTTTGAGAAAGCATTTGACAGAATAGAGCATGGGGCTATGTTGGAGATTATGAAGAAAAAAGGCTTTGGGGATAAATGGATTTCATGGATGAAGTTGATATTTGACTCTGGCACTTCCTCAGTACTGCTAAATGGCACTTCAGGGAAAGTCTTTCACTGCAAGAGGGGAGTAAGGCAAGGAGACCCACTCTCCCCCCTGTTGTTTGTGCTAGCTGCTGACCACCTACAGTCAATTATCAATAAAGCTAAGGATCAAGGATTGCTCAACCTTCCAATTCCATTACAATATACAAATGATTTTCCAATCCTCCGGTATGCTGATGACACTTTGGTCATCATGGAAGGGTGTGGTAGACAAACGGTTTTTTTCTTAAGGCTCTCTTGAATACTTTTGCTGCCTCTACTGGACTAAAAGTGATTTTTTCAAAATCCATGATGGTCCCAATTAATCTGTCTGAAGAAAAACTAAAGCACCTTTCTGCCACATTTGGATGTTCAACTGGCAGCCTCCCTTTCACTTACTTGGGGCTACCTCTGGGGCTTACCAAGCCAAAGGTTGAAGAATTCATGCCCCTGGTTTCTAGATGTGAGAGAAGGTTGGTATGCACTTCTTTATTCCTCTCCCAAGCTGAAAACCGTAGATCACAAATTCAGTCTTTACTTCCCTCCCAACCTTCTTTATGAGCACCTTTCATCTACATGTTTCCATAAGAGATCAAGTGGACAAATTTAGAAAACATTGTGGAGGGGAGAAGAGGAAAATAACAGAATCAAAGCTAAGGCAGCTTGGCCTATGGTTACAAGACCAAAGGAAGATGATGGGCTGAGAGTTTTAGACCTTAAGACCCAAAATGAAGCTTTACTGCTAAAAAATCTTCATAAATTTTTCAACAAAGCTGATATCCCCTGGGTGCATCTCATTTGGGAGAAATATTATAGAAATGGCAAACTCCCAAATCATATTAAGAAGGGGTCTTTTTGGTGGAAAGATATTTTGAAAGTTTTGGACAAGTTTAAAGGAATGGCTTCAGTAGCAGTTGCAGATGGCTCCTCATGCCTTCTCTGGGATGATTGCTGGCAGGGACAACCTCTAAAACTGACATTCCCTGAGCTCTACTCTTTTGTTTAAAAAACAGACATTTCTCTCAAAACTGTAGTTGCTGTCACCACTGCCTCTTCTCTCTTTAATCTTTAATCTTTAATCTTCCTTTGACGGTTGAGGCTTTTGATCAGTTCCTGCAAATTGAACATCTTCTCCAAAACCTTCAGATGGTGAATGGTGCAAATACCTAGACATATATTTGGGAAATCTCCATCTTTTCTTTCAAGAGAGCTTATCGCCATCTTTCAGAATCGAGTTGGTCACATCCAATCTTCAAATGGATTTGGAAGTCTTCTTGTCAGCACAACCATAAGTTTTTTTTCTGGTTGCTCTCTCAAGGCAAACTTAGCATGCGTAATATTCTGAAAAGGAAAAACTTTCATTTGGCTTCTTTCAATTGCGTGCTCTGTGCTCATAATCTTGAAGAGACAGTGGAGCACTTGTTCCTTGACAGTGAAATGGCTCGAGAATGCTGAGGCTTGATTGGACTGACAGTAAACAACCCCCTTAACCCCTACCAGAATTTTGAAGATTTCAGAATGCAGTTAAATGTTCCCTTCTTCATGGAAATTATCATCGTTATGAGTTGGAGCATATGGGCAATCAAGAACGATGTTATTTTCAGAGGCATTCCTGCTAGCAGTCTTCGTTGCTCACAAATTTTCAAGCATACCTTCAGCCTCCTCCTGTGGAGGGCCAAGAAGAAATACTTTCCCTCAATAGAGTTATGGTTAGAGCAAGTTGTGTAATAGCTCTAATTTTCTTTTGTTTCGTTTTATGTTTCCTGAATTTCTCCCCTTCCTTTTGCTTCTTTTTCGCCTAAATTGTATCTCCTCTGTAACCCTCTTGGTTGCGTTTAATAAATTTCATTAGGTGCTCCTGAGCCCCTCCTGTTTCTAAAAAAAAAAAAGATCCATTCAGTTAGATATCGATGTTCCCCCAAGGACTGCATGTGAGGTGAAGGTTTCAGACTTTCAGTTTGGTCATAATAAGACTACTTAAAGGGAACGCACGTAACTGGCTCTGAGCAATAAGCAATTTCTAAGCTGGATCAATGGTTGCCGTGGAGCCCAGGGCGAAGTGTTGAAATCGGAACGCGGTTCAGGGTTGGGATGGAAGAAAAGTCGTGTGATAGTGACGCGCACGCTCCACTTAAACAGAGAACTGTCATCATGCTGCAATTAGTGGAGGCTTATCTTCCGAATCTTTGCCTCGCAATGTTATGCTTCTTGGTTACCATCCACCGACGTGCACTACTGAAAAACTGTACTTTGTCGAGTGCCTGATATTTTGCCGAGTGCAAAATATCGTGGCACTTAACAAAGCAATATTTTATCGAGTGTAGCACCCGGCAAAATTTTGCACTCTTTGTCGAGTGCCAGAAGTCAGGCACTCGGCAAATCTGGACTTTGCCGGGCAAAAATTTAGCCGGACCGTGACGGCGGCCACCTACCGTCAGATTTTGCCGAGTGCCAGCCATGAAGCACTCGGCAAAATTTGTTTTTATTTTAAAAAAAAAAAACTTTGCCGAGTGTCATCCTTGGACACTCGGCAATTTTTTTTTATTTTCTGAAAACAAAATTTGCCGAGTGTCTCCTGGGCCCGGCACTCGACAAAGACATGAGCACTCGGCAAATTTTTTTTTTTATTTTGGACCTAAATTTTTTTGTGTAGCCTTGTGACAGTATTTAAAGCTCTACTCTAAAATTTGGTGAAATTTTGACTTTTTTAGGTATATTTCATTAATTTATTTCGTTTCGTTGATGTTTTCGGCGTATTTCAAATTTGAACTGCAGGTCTATGAAATAATGGAATTTGGTCATCCAAAAATTGATATTCATTATATTTAGCGTATGTTGAGGCCGTATCCAGGGAGTCACATGAAATCTCGAGCATCTCGTTGACGTAACATGTCGAGTTAGTTGTGGGAAAAGTGAATTTAAATTATATAAAATCACATGTAGAGATGTCTGGGTTTTTGGCATCCGATGTCACAACTTGTTCGAAACTTTCTCAATTTTTTACCACAACCTCCACATGCGATAAAACGACGTCTCGACAAGTTTCGTGATTTTCGAACTTCGTTTGCATTTTATATAATTTAAAATCACATTTCCGGTAAGTACCTCGACATGTTACGTCAATGAGATGCTCGAGATTTCATGTGAGTTCCTGGATACGGCCTAAACATACTCTAAATATCATGAGTATCAATTTTTGGATGACCAAAGTCCATTATTCTATGTACCTGCAGTTTAAATTTAAAATATCCCGAAAAATTCGACGAAACGAAATAAACTAATGAAATATATAAAAAAAGTCAAAATTACCCCAAATTTTAAAATAGAGTTTGAAATACTGTCATAAGGCCCCAGAAAAAAATTTAGACCCAAAATTAATTTTTTTTTTGCCAAGTGTCATGAGGACACTCGGCAAAGTGGGATTTGCTGAGTGTCGGCCTAGAGGGCACTCGGCAAAGTTGATTTTTAAAAATTAAAAAAAAAACTGGGCACTGAAACCCACCGGTCCGACCCCCGCGCGGCCCAACCCTAAGTCACGCCCCGCGCCCACCCTAGCCGCTCCCCCGCGCCCACCCCCGCCGCTGCCGCGCCCTCGCCGGCGAGCCCCGCCCTCGCGCCCGC